TGGTTTCTAAATTCATATCACTGTGGTGACATTTTGCATACTCCATGGTTTTATTCTTCCAGGTTTGTTGAGATATGTATAGGCCTAGAAACGCTCAACCTTGCTAGATGTCCTAAGGGAGCATGAGAAGAATGAGCTCTCTGTTGTGGGATGTAGCAGAGTGTGGGGTGCAGAGTGAAGAGGTGAGACCCAGGGACAGAAAGGGAAAGGCGTTATCAATCCATGGAAAACCCCAACACTAGGGCTGGGCACATGGGTTTAAAACTAAGGGGGAGGAATACCTTACGCTCTCCCAACATGTATGACAACTGGGGGAATTTAATATCTGAGCAGAGGATGCAAAATGCTGGGCATTTACTGTATGTATGTGTATGCACATGTTGTATGTGTGCCCATGCATGTCCTACATGTAGATTACAGATTAGCAGTGGAAATGGCTGAGTGCAGCTTTGGTGTCAAAGCTCAGAGCTAAAGAATGTAATTTATTTATGATCACAGCACTTTTACTATGTTTTAGTTTCTCGTACTAAAGTTATATCATCAATAATTTCATGCTAGAATATATGTTTATTGCCAAGTAAAAAACAAAAAAACACAGTGAGAGGGAAACCTATCATTTGAGGAGCAGGTACTGTGCTAAACCTCTGGGTCTTTTTCTACTGCTGCTCCAACAAATATAGAGGTTTAAAAACTAGGAAACTTAACTGGACAACAGTGGCTTACACCTATAATTCTAGCTACTCAGGAGGGTAAGATCTGAGGAGGCCAACAGCTCAAAGACAGCTGGGGTAGGAAAGTCCATTAGACTTTTATCTCCAATTAACCATCAAAATCTAGAAATGGAGTTGTGACTCAAGTGGTAGAGCACTAGCCTTCAGCAAAAAAGGTAAGGGATAATACCCAGACCGAGTTCAAGCCTACTGGTGCGTGTGCATGCACACACAAACACACAAACACATACACACACACACACACACAATCCCAGGAACCATGTGGGCACCGGTGGCTCACGCCTGTAATCCTAGCTACTCAGGACGCTGAGATCTGAGGATCGCGGTTCAAAGCCAGCTTGGGCAGGAAAGCCCATGAGACTCTTATCTAAACTACTAGAAAACTGGAAGTGGCGCTGTGGCTCAAGCAGTAGAGCACTCACCTTGAGCTGAAGAGCTGAGGGACAATGCCTAAGCCTAGAGTTCAAGCCCCACAACTGACAAAAAAAAAAAAAAAAAATCCCAGGAACCTATAATCTGCCAGTTGTGCAGATCAAAGGTCAGGCTCAGAATAGCTCAACTGGCTAGCTGCTCTGCTTCTGTCAAGCTGAGTTCAAGGTGTTGCCTCGGATCATTTCTTTCTTCTCAGGCTGATGCAGGATACTGAAAACTCAGCTCTAAGAGGTCTTATGCCAGCTGGCTGCCGAGGCTGGGAGGCTTCAATGTTGGCTGCAGTGGTGAGTTAAGTCTCTCTCTACTGCAAATCTTCCAAGCCTTCCCTCTGCCTAGAGTCCTTAGAGCAGCTCCTCCAAATGCCTTATTTTTCCACTTTCTTCTTTTGCTTCTACAGGGTGAGGTGATTGATTAGGCCTAGCATAATCTCTACTATGGCCAGCTTGCCTATAATCTCTCCTGTACCAGCAAAAGCCATTCTCAGCATGTAAGTGGGACCTCTCAGAACTGTACCTCTCAGAGCCTGTCACAGTGCCTCAGCTGACCTCCAGGACTCCAGAGGGAAGAGAGTCATCGGATTCATTATCTATCTAGATAAGTTGTTTTACTTTATAAAAACTACAGACTAATTCCAAAATAAAATTCAAGTTGATTAAATAATTAAGTGCTCAACAATAAGGGGCGGGGTTGTGTGTGGGGGACAATCAACCAACTAACCAACACAAAAACACCATGGCTTTTTAAAATGTAAAATTAGATCACATGCTCATTCATCTACTCTTGGGATCGTTACAGCATAAAGGAAACAGATGAAATAGTAAAGAGAAAATGAGCAGATGAGACTATATTTACAAATTAAATTTTCAGTAAATACAAAAGCTAGATTGGGGGAAATGCTAAATCACAGCCCAGAGGCCAAGATTTCTAGTATGAATCATGCTCCCCATTAAAGAATTAAAAAGCAGGAAAATGTTGAAGGTAAACAAGAGTAAGTTTACTTGAAAGTGAAAGAAAAGCTATGAAAATAGCAAGCCCCCAGAGAGAGGCTTCAAAGAAGAGTCCAATGGAGTCCTCTAGGAGGGCAGTTTTCATAGTATAGGTCTCCTCCCATATCTCCTCCCTTTGGGCTTTTCACATTGATTGCTTGATTACTTGTGCATACGCCTCCCTAGCTCTTCTTACTAGGTGAGTAGGCACGTAGGGCATTAAGAGAAGAAGCAGCATTTAGTGGGAACTCACAGCATTATGAGAGGAAGCATGTTTGCAGGAGTCCAAGGCACCAGAGGAACAAGAAGTACCTTGTTATCTGCCACTTGTTAGACCCACCACTTTTTATCCCTATCTACCTAATAGCTCCCCTTTTCTTTCCTTCATGAGGCCCTTAGCTAAAAGCAATGTAAAGATGGATAAAACGCACAATTTGGATTTCTTTTTCCTATTATTTTTTAAAGGTCTTGCTATGTTGCCACAATGGCGTCCAATTTACAATCCTCCTGCCTCAGCTTCCTGATTGCTGGGATTATAGGCATGTATCAACACATTCGCTTCCAATTTGGATTTCTTTTCTCAATTAATATGTTAGAAAGTCTCACCTTTTTAGCAACCAAAGGAATGCACATGGAACCACTGGTTTTGTATAGTATTTACAAAACAATTTTGGTTCATCATTTTTTTAAGACAATGGTACACTACCATCAACCAATGAAGGAAACACAGTAGCTTTTTGAATGATTTGTATTTTGACTCTTATATGGAAGAACCAAAATTCAGACCAAGGTATTTATTTTTTTTTAAAGTCACGGAGAACTTTAAACAAGACTAAATAAACCATGGTACAGCTATACAATAAAGACTGCTCAGCTCAGGGATAACTCTTGACAGGTCACGACATTCTTAAGGACAAGGGAAAATGTTCTTAATTTGATTATGTTAAGGAAAAGCACCACCTGCACTGTATACCAGCAGGAGGCAATGAGCTTGGAGGCCAGAGTTGGTTATGCAAGGCTGAATTCCAACTCTTGCCATTAATAGTTCCCAGACTTTGGAGAGGTCCAACCCAATTCTAATTACAGAGGCAAGTTACCCGGTGGCAAGTCTCATCAGTACACCTCACAGAATTTCAGGGGAAGGAGATCTGTGAAGGTGAATATGTTTCTGTGGTTGATGTGACTAACATACCACACAGTAGGTGGTTTAAAATACTAACCATTTTTTCTCAAACAAGTCTAGAAACCAGAAGTTTGAACACAAGTGTTGGCCAGCCATATTTTATCCAAAGGAAAGCTCCAGGGAAGAGTCCTTCCTTGCTTCTGCCTAGCTTTCCTCCACCTGGGGCTGCCCAGCTACCTGTTTCTGGGTCGTCACAGAAACATAGCATGTTCTCAGTATGTCTGCATCTTCTCTAATTCTGTCATAAGAACTTTTATCACTGAAATCACAACCTACCCTAGAAATCCAAGTAAGACCCATGGGGAGATTCTGAATCATATAAGCCCTATTTTCCATATGAGGACACATGAAAAGGTTCTGGGGATTAATTACGATGTGGATAAATCTTTTGGGGACCCAAACTCAACCATACCAAAACATAATTCTTTTAAAGTAGCATTTACTAAAGGGCTTTAAACACAACTGAAATATTATAATTAATTCATCATCTCTGGAAGCCAGCTATCTGCTACTTAAACAAAATACCTCAGATAAAGTAAGTTTTTAAGAGAAAAGGGTTATTCTGGTAACAATTCTAGAGATTCCCCTTCAAAATCAGAAGGCTCCATGACTTGGGCCTCTGGCAAAGGCAACAGTCAAAGCAGGAGTATGTGGTAGAGCAAAGACCTGCAATCTCCCTTAAAAGCATATCCCCAATAACCTAAGGATCTCCAATAAGGCTTCAACAACCTTCAATTGTACCACTTTAACACAAAGAACTCTTGTCAACATTCAAGATCCAAACTGTAACAGTAGTCTACAGATCAGCTAACTTACTGTAAGAGAGACGAGTTATAGGGAAGTAGCTCAGGTATTGCCTTGTTCAGGCAATAGGGATGTTGTCTTAATTGGCTCAGCATGCTGCAACCTAATACCAGAGCATGGGTGGCAAGTCAACAACAGAAATTTGATTTCTCACAGTTGTACAGGCTGGGAGTCCAAGATGATGACGGGATTGGCATATTCAGTATATGCAAGGACCTACTTCCTGGTTTATAACTGGTCCCTTCTCACATGTCCTTGCATGGAGGAATGGGCAAGCTGCTCTCTGAGCCTATCTTCTGATCCCACTTGTGCGGGCTGATCTAATCACCCACTCACCATCTAATACCATTACCTTGGGATGAGGATTTCAATAAACAAATGCAGGGAGCGCATAAACAAGCAAATGTGCACCACACAAATCCTACCTCAATAGATTCAAGAGGTTTTTTTTTTGTTGTTTTATTTTTTGTCGGTTGTGGGGCTTGAACTCTGGGCCTGGGCGCTGTCCCTCAGCTCTTCAGCTCAAGGCGAGCGCTCTACCACTTGAGCTACAGCGCCACTTCCGGTTTTCTGGTGGTTTATTGGAGATAGGAGTCTCACGGTCTCTCCTGCCCGGGCTGGCTTTGAACCGCGATCCTCAGATCTCAGCCTCCTGAGTAGCTAGGATTACAGGCGTGAGCCACCAGCGCCCGGCTAGATTCAAGAAGTTTAAAACTAGGGGAGCCATGTTGCCCTGAAGACGGACACATGGTAATAAGCACTCTTACAATCGTAACGTTCAGTGTGTGGCCAAGTCAGACAAACCCTCTGGGACTGCACTCTAAAGAGCACCCCCACTCTACATGATGCCGTGTTTTCTCTCACCTTCAATGTAGAGAGGCTCCACCACATCATGGTTAATCAGCTCAAAGTTCTCATGGCCAATCCAATGCTCCACATTTCTCTTCCTGCCTGTGAAAAAGTTGTCCACCACAGTCACCTCATGGCCATCCATCATGAGCTTGTCAGTCAGATGGGAGCCCACGAACCCTGCACCTCCAGTGATCTGTATTGGGAAGATGGGTGTAAAACACCCCCAGAAATAGCAGGTGAGAACACAGTCATGATAGATACCATGGAGGTGCAACTATGGCACAAGTACAGCTTAAACTTTGGAAGAAGATAAGGAAGAGGGCAAAGATTTCAGGCAGCATTATCATTTTCCCTCCACAGAAAGAATGGTGCTATCTGTAAACTTCTAAGCAGTGTGCCATTTAAATTATTATTTGGGGAAAGATATAGAAAAAACTGCAGTTACAGGATTCGAAATGACTTCATAGGGAGTTTTACATTATTAAACACACCTGGCATTATAACAGATGAGCTATTCAACATCCTTTACAGTCCACCCAAAGATGTGGGTTCCATGTCTATGTCCACATCTACAACCTGACCAAGCAAAGACTGAAAACACAGTTGCAGCTCTGTATTGAACATACACTTTTCTCTCCTTGGCATTATTCACTAAACAATGTCACAACTACCAGTTGACATTTACATTGTACTAGATTAGATAATTGAGAGATGATTTAACATATGTAGGAGCATGGGTTCTACAAATAGCATGCCAGTTTATCTAAGGGTCTTGAGCATCCTTGGATTTTGTTAGCCCCTCCTGGCACCCTCCAAAGGGTGCCAAGGGACAACTATGTATCATTCTAATCCTATAACTGAAAACTTCTTAGAATTACTTTATCTTTAAAAAGTGATGAGAAAGGACCAGGTGCTGGTGACTTAAGCCTACAATCCTAGCTACTGGGGAGGTTGGGATCTGAGAATCAAAGTTCAAAGCCATCCCAGGGAGGGAAGTCTTTGAGACTCCTATCTCTAGCCACAAAAAAGCCAGAAGTGGAGGTGTGGCTCAAGTTGTTGAGAGCTAGCACACACAAAAAAGTAATAAACAAGCAAAATACAAAGAATTGATAAATTACTAAAACAGGATATTAATCTTACAACAAACATTCTAGCTTTTTTTACCTACTAATAGTAAAAAGACATTTATTCTCCTAAAACAGACAGTATGTAAACCTCTAGTTCTGTGGGGTTTTTTTGTTTTGTCTCAAGATAACTATATTTATTTGCAGCTTGTACAATATGATAGAGAAGGAGATGTTGCAACTGCCACTGTGTGTTGGCAAATTCAAAACAAGGAAAAGTTTTCATGTTAAGTTATCAAAGAGACTGTCATTTTAAAGAATATAGTGATAATTTCACATAGTGAAAAGATCCTGATCATTGTATCAAGGATAATTTTGTTTTCTTCAATATAAAAAATTTTGCATAGGACTTTAAAAATGTCTGGTGGTTATTGAGATGATAATGGAAAATGGAAACCTAGGATGGAAAATTGAATAATTCAGGCATTTTTTGATCGATTTATTTTTATCCTGATGACCTAACTATTGGTGAGGGTGGACTATAAAAGTCACCTACTATTCAAGAATACATTATCAACATTTTCAAGCATATTTTGAAATAAGTATTTAGAGATAAATGTATGTGCCACATAAGATTAAAAACATTGAAATTTTGTTTTTTCATAAACCTCTTATTAAATTAAAATCTCACAGTGTGATGTATGCCACAGGTGTAAGAGAGTAAAGCAACCTGGGGAAGATGGAGGTAATGGTAGGTAGACCTTGCAAAGAACTGTTTGATCAACTACCAGAGATAGTTACATGTGATCTAAGAAAAATACCCATGGCACGGTAGAGAGTCCAGTCCTGATGTTTACTGGCTAGCAATCAGCTCAAGAGCACTGTTTTGCAAAGCCCTTTCTTGGGTTGAGAAGTTGACTTCTTGACTAAGATCCTCAGATCTCGCACTGGTTTTGACAGAATAAACCCATTTTCTTCCTACCTACAAGCTCTTTTCACGCCCCCCCCCCCCAGGAATTTATAGAGTGGAAGCTTGGTCCTGAGCGTAATGATGTATCTTTAATGAATCTTTAAGACCCTATGTCACTGAAGATGCTCCTTTTTTGTTTTTTTTAATTGTTATTATAAAGGTGATGTACAGAGGGGTTCCAGTTTCATGGAAGGGATTAATGTAGTCCTCATTTCTCATGAGAGAAGAGAAAAAAAAGAGAAAGAGAGAGAGCGAGAGTGAGAGAGAGAGACAGACAGACAGAGAGACAGACAGACAGAGTGTGTCATAGAACAGCAAGTCTAGACTCTTCCTACTCTCTGGCTTTCTCCTTGCCTTGTGAATTCCCCTACACATACACAGTCCCACAATGATGTCCTCCACCAGGATGTCCTCTCCACAGGCCAAAGAGATGAGGCTGTCCAACCTTGGATTTTCAGTCTCTAAAACTACAAGCTAATTATTTTTTCTTTCTTAAATGCCCATACCCAGGTATTTTGTTGCATCAATATACCTACATTCTACCTGTATGCCTAAAACAATGATTATGAAAAAAGATTTTTGGGAAAATATTGGAATTTCAAATGTGACACACCACTAGTCATGAGATTTCATATTAACTTCTTCCTGTTGCCAATTTAAATGATTTCAATGGTTTTTAAAATAAAAACAATTATAATTACTTAAAAAGACATTTTCTATTGTAACTCCATATATCTATATGCAAATGTTTCTGAAAATAAGATTTCTATGACACATAACATTATTTCTACATCAACCCCAAGCTGGCAGAAATGCAGTGTGTTTAAATCATACATAATCACCTCTAACATTTTAATGGTTTGAGCAGGGATATCAAATTGTTTAATGCCTTTAAGCCTTTACTGAAATACAATGGAATTATTTGAGGTTATTTTGTGAAATGAATATATATATTCACTTATTAAATGAATATATACATACATGTAAATATGTGTATATATATGCTTTTCTATAAAAAACATGTAAGGATTTATGTACCATAGTGATATGCTAGAGAGTTATAATTATTTTCCTAATCAATTTTACTCTGTGATCAAGATTTTCAAATGGAAGCAAAACCAAGGGAGCTTCAGCTCTTATAAAACTTCCTAAGGAACACTAATCACCAAATCCAAGTATATTCTTTGGATAACAAGGAGGAGCTAATACCTAGGAGACAGTAAAAGAAAAGACAAAGAAGCTGAAATGGATTAGAATTTATTTAGCGTTACACCACTTTGAACATGGAGGTTCAAAAAGGCTTTAACTTTTAGCACCAAGATGGGAGACTGGCACTAAATGACTGAGACATGCTGAACCTATATATGGCAGATGAAAGAAAATCACTAAGTGTACTGTATAATGTGTAGAGAGAATTAATTCTACATGTGGCACTGATAGGAAGACACGCTACAGAGAAACAATTGGCAAGATAGTGTTGTGTTCACAAACTTGTGCTTCAGGACAAACGTGTTCTCAAGCTTCACATAGTAGAAATGTAATTCCCAGTAAAACCGTGCTGAGAGAAGGAGTCTAATGAGAGCTGATTAGGTTATTAAGGCTCTGCCCTTATGGCTGTGAGACTTGATTCCTTATAAAAAAAAAAAAGTTACATGCCTCTCTGTTTCTCGATTGTCCCTATTTGCCCTTCTGTCAAAGTACAATGTAGCAAGAAAGCCATGGACAGATGCCAGCACCTTGATCTTGAACTTCCCAGTCTCCAGAACCAAGAGCAGTGAGAAGAGTCATGTTCGTTATAAGTTACCCAGTCTGTGGCATTCTGTACAGCAGCATTAGAGGACCAAGACAACTGGCAACAGATTTTGTGATCAACGTGACACATGGCAACGAACAGATTAGGAAGATTAACTTTGCTACTTAAGACACTAATCTATTTCTAAATCCATGCTCAAATGTACACATATTTTTGATACAAGAATAACCTCAGAAAGTAGGCATACTGCCAAGAAAGAAGAGAAAGAGGGAGGGAATAGGAAAAGAGGGAGGGAGAGAAAAAGGGAGAAGGGAGGGAAAGAAAGTAGGAGGGAGATGGAAAAGGGAGAAAGGAAAGGGAAAGGAGGAAAGAAGGAAAGGGGAAGGGGAGGGAAAAGGAAGAGGAAAAAAAAAAAGGAAGATGTAATCAGTCAGCAATTAAAAATACATATCTTGAAGCCAGGAGCTGGTGGCTCACATTTATAATCATAGCAACTCCAAAAGCTGAACTCTGAGGAATGTAGTTCAAAGCCAGCCCAGGCAAGAGAGTCTTATCTCCAATTTACCAGGAATAGGCTATGGCTAAAGAGGTAGAGCAACAGAGTGGAAAAGGCTAAGGGTCAACGCTCAGGCCAAGTTCAAGCTATAGTACTGGCCCAAAAGCAAAACAAAAGCCCCCAAATCCAAACAAATCAACACCAAAAGAAACATCTATATAGTAATTCTGTGTTTAGCTTTTAGAAGAAGTGGAAAATTTCTAGAACAGTATTTTTAACCTTTTCTGGTTTTAAGATCATTTTAATGAATACTTTGTGGTTTCCTTGGCTAACAGTTTTCTCACTAAACAACACAAATTCATGGCGGGGGAGGAGGAGAACTATTAAACTTTTATGTAGTAAGCTGTCTGAAGAGATTGAACTGTTTCGTGATTTATTTTTTTATTTATTTATTTTTTTTGGTGTGATCATGGGGCCTGAACTCTGGGCCTGGGCGCTGTCCCTCAGCTCTTCAGCCCAAGGCTAGTACTCTACCACTTGAACCACAGCCACTTCCAGCTTTTTTCTTTTTTTGCTTATGTGGTGCTGAGGAATCGAACCCAGGGCCTCATGCATGCAAGGCAAGTGCTCTACCACTGAGCCACCTTCCCAGCCCCTTGTTTCGTGACATACATTTTTATTGAGATATCATTCACATAGCTCACAATTTATCCTTTGGAATAAAATGCAGTGTTTTCAGTATAATACAGAATTATGCAGCCATGACCACCTCCACAAAGAAGCCCTGCCATTAATTAACGAGATCATTGTTCATCCTTTTGTTGTAGATTCACCAGTTCTGGATTTATCATCTTAGACTGGGGGCAGGGGGCGGTGGAGGGTTAGTTCTGACTTCAGGGCCTAGGTGCTGTCCCTAAGCTTTTTGCTCAAGGCTAGTGCTCTACCACTTGAACCACAGCTATACTTCTGGCTTTTTGATGGTTAATTAGAGATACGAGTCATGTGTTTTCTTGGCCAGTCTGGTTTGAGCCATCATCCACCAATTTCAGCCTCCTGAGTAGCTGGGATTACAGGTTGGCCACCAGTACCCAGCCTAAGATTTACCATCTAGATGCAGTGATGACACACTTGCCCTTTCATGACTGGCTTCTTCCACTTAGCAAAATGATGTCAAGGCTCATCCAAGGGCTTATTGGTCATTTTGTATCTTTGGACAAAGTTCTTTTGAGATACTTAGCCCAGTTCTAAAACTGACAGTTTTTTTAAATTATTGGGTTAAACGAGCACGAACAAGACGTTATGTCAAAAAACAAACTTTACAACTTTGGCGGGTTGGAGGTGGGGGATGGAAGGGAAGGGATGGGAAGGGGAAACAAAGGAGGAGGCTGCAATGCTTGATAAGAAATGTACTCATTGCCTTGCTCATGTAACTGTAACCCCTCTGTACGGTATTTTCACAATAAAAAACTTATTAATTAAAAGAATAAAAAATAAAATTAAAAAAAGAGCACTTCATATAGTCTAGATACAGGTTCTTTATTGGTATCTGATTATCAGCTACGATCTGTCAATTTTATCAATCTTTTCAAATAACTATCTTTTGATTTTCTTGATATCCTTTTTATGGCCTCCTTTTATTCTCTCAATATTTCTAAACAATCCTTTTTTTTTTTCTTTTTTAGTACTGGAGTTAAAACTCAGGACCTGGTGTTACTTGGCTTGATGGTTCAGAGCTAGCACTGTGAGCAATGCCTCACAAAGCCATACTCTTTGCTGGTTATTTTGAAGATGAAGTCTAGTCAACTTTTCTGCCTAGGCTGGCTTCAACCCTCCACCCTATAGGTCTTAGCCTCTTGAGTAGCTTAGATTACAGATGGCAGCCACTGGTATCCAGCTTTGTTCAAATCTTTATGATTTCCCTTCTTTTTATTTGTGTTGTTTTTTTCTTCTTTTTCTATTGTCTTAAGGTGGTAGTTAGGGTTTGAACTCAGGACCTCTGTTTGCTAGGCAGGCATTCTCCAAGCCCTTTTTTACATCCCTTGTTTTTGGGATTCAGTCTTGCATTTGGCCCAAGTCTGGCCTGGGCCATGATGAACTATGACATCAAGCTTACAGAGATGAAGTCTCTTTAACTTTTGACTCAGGCTGGACTTGAACCCATATACACCTGATCTCTGCCTCCCAAGTATATGTAGCATCACACATATAAGCCACTTCACCTGATGTCTTCTTTTTTAAAATATAGATGTTTATAGTTTCTAAGTTTTTTTCTAAGCACTGCTTCTTTAACTGCATATATTACACCATAGGTTTTGGTATGCTTTTCTCTCTTTGTCATTTGTTTCAAAGGCTGTTGTTTTTTTTTAATTTCTCTTGTGATTTTTTTCTTTACTTGTTATTTAATTTGTACATACTTAGGAATGGCTTGCAGTTATTCCTATTTCTGATAACTAATTTAATTTTCTTATCAGAAAACACAGTTTGTGTGATTCAATTACTTTTAAATTTGTTGTGTTTGTCCCTCAGAATATTCCAGGTGAAGAATATGCTCCAGGACTTCTGGCTTCCAGACATAATTTGTGTATCCTGAAACCTTGGTTAGTTCTAGTAGTTTTAAGAAGCTACTCATTTTGGGTTTTCTAAATACAAGACCATGTCACCCACCAGCAATTACATGTAGTTTAAGTTTTACCTTTTTAATATAGATATCTTTTATTTATAAGAACACACAAAAAGAATTGAAAACTTATATTTACTCAAAAAATATGTCCAGAGCAGCCTTATTCACAGCATCCTGTGAATAGAAACTACTCCAAATGTCCATCCATGCAGAAAGGATATCCAAAACCCTACAGTGTACTATTGTTCAGACATAAAAAGCATGGAGTAGTGACTCATGTTACAGTGTGATGAACATTGTTCTCAGTGAACAGAAATGGAACACAAAAGGCCACATGTTGTGTCATTCTGTTGATATGACACATTCAAAAAAGGCAAATCCACAGCAATAAAAAGTAGTTTCAGTGGCTACTGGGAGGATGGGTAACAAAGAACTACTAATGGATGTAGAAACCCTTCAGTGGAAATACTGTTGAAACTCTGAAAACACATTACCAACTGCTGAGTTCAATACTTGAAGGGGTGTAACTTTATGGCACATGAATTATCTTGATTAAAATAGGAAGGTCTCAATATTACACATATTAATCAGATGTGCAAACTTACCAAAATTCTTTTGCGATCCTTCTCTGATAAGAACTTTACTGGTGGGTATTTCTGGGTGAAGCTGTATAATATGAAGAGATTAAAAAGCAAAAGTCAAATGTCGTGGTGGGCATTTGTCTCCACCTGTCACTGAACAATGCCACATTCAGGACCTCTTCTGGCTTCCCCTTTCTTTTCCTTCACTGGGGCTGCTGAAGGGTCATTGGCTAACAATGGTTCAAGACATCCCTACCTGTCTGTGGGGGATGATAAAGCTAAGGACACAATTTAAAGCTCCAAGAGAAAGTAGAAGTGCTGGCTAAGAGGCTGCAAGCTACCAACAACTGTAAAATATAGGTAGCATACCCCTCTGGGGACAAGTGACAATCCAGGAGAGGCCAGAAATGGTGGCATACAAAAGGATGATCTCAGGTTCCAGACTACACAGTGAGAGCCTGTCTCAAAGTAAAACAGAATTAAAAGGACTGATGTGTGGCTCAATGGTGAGAATCTGGCTTCAAGATCCAGCAGCAAAAACAAAACAAAACAAATCAAAACAAAAACCCCACAAAACCACCAGCAGAGGTGGTAGAGATGCTGAATCAGAGCTTAAGTGGAAGACAGAGACTGTGTGGAGTTTCAGCCCCATGTGGGAGGGTGTGGCTTCCTAGGATGAGAAAAAAATTGAATACAGCCATCTCCTGTTCTGAGAATCAACACAGGGCCCACAGCTCTTTTTCGACCAGTGTCCTGTGTCCAGTGACTCAACACCTGCACATTCTGTCTCCCACAGCTGGCTCTGACCCTGCCAAAATCTCACCTGATCTTTCAATGTCCTTCTGTTCCCCAAAGGTGCCACAGGCCCCCCAATTACACTGATATTTTAGGGGCCGAGCAACATAATTGGCATAGCAAACATTCTCAAAAGATGCAATCAGAAGGAAGCAAAAAGAGCTTTGAGTAAAATCTGCGTGATCAGCAGATTATTTAATCTCACTGCAGGTGCTGGGCCATGCCACACAGAACCTGTCCCCAGCACCAGCTCTCCCTACAATACAGGTGCATTTCCTTAACTGTTGCTGAAGCAAATGGTGTGTGACAGCAAATCAGACAGGAGACCTAGGAGCAGATGTATAGGGGAAGTGGAATAAGGGCTTTCACAATACACAAGAATTCCCCCATGAAGCGCTTCCAGCCTTCCAGCTCTGTGGCCACCAAGCAAGACTTGCAGCAGCTTGTGCAGCTCAGCGGTAAGGGTAAGAGCAGCTCTCCATCCACACAACCATCCCAGTCACATACAGCACACACTGCTCCTAGCAAGCACATGAAGAATGTTTCCAGTGCTGCTGGGGAATAGAAACCATGCTGGAGGAACTGGGAAGAGCCAGGCAGATGTCCTGTTGGCCAAGTAACACGTTCAGCCATTTCACCTCCATTACTCATGTGGAGACTGATCATGTACAGTTCTGGTGTGCTGCATGCAGATCCCACAACTGCTTCTCCGAGCTCAGGACATCCATACCTGTTGCCTCAACCTTGAAATGCATTCTTCACTATGTGGTACCTTTCTCCTAGGGCAGTACTGCACACCAACATGGCAACCTCCAGATCATAGGGGGACAGTGGGACCATCACAGACTCACCACCTTCCTTCACCCAGGCTGCTGAGATCTGTATATGTGTGTATCCTATGGGTGTGTGTGTGTGTGCGCGTGTGTGTGTGTGTGTGTGTGTGTGTGTGTGTGTGTGTGTGTGTGTGTGTGTGTTTCTTGCAGTACTGGGGATTGAACACTTATACCAGTTCAAGAATTCATTCTCTATGACTTTTCTACCATCTAGGTGACTTTAAAGAAGTTCCAAATGGGGAAATTGCAGCTACACATTGGAAAATGAAGTAGAAGGAGAGAGAGACCAATTTAAAGTGAGGACTGTAGGCAGAAGACTGCATGATAATCCCAGGAATACACGCACAGGTCACCAGGAAAACAAATTCATCCAAGTTAATAGCTTAGAATATCGTGGGTCCCCTAGTTTCCTCAGAGATGGGTTCCAGGAACCCTAAAGATATTAAAACCAGGTTTCTCTGCCAGATGCCAGTGGCTCATGTCTGTAATTATAGCTATTCAAGATTAGGAATTGTAGGCATGTAACACCATACATAACATTTTCATGCTTTGTTTTTTTTGGGGGGGTCCGGTCGTGGGGCCTGAACTCTGGGCCTGGGTGCTGTCCCTCAGCTCTTCAGCTCAAGGCTAGCGCTCTATCACTTGAGCCACAGTGCCACTTCCGGCTTTTTTTTTTCTGCTTATGTGGTGCTGAGGAATTGAACCCAGGGCCTCATGCATGCAAGGCAAGCGCTCTACCACTGAGCCACCTTCCCAGTCCCACTTTTTTTTTTTAATACAATAGGATGCAACTAAATTTTAGATAACATACACAGGATCATGTTGTTCAACTTTTTTAAATTGTCTTACATCTTCATATCTCCCTTGTAGAAGTCACATGCACAAGGCTATGAGTGACAGGCTGGGGGAGTCGCCAGGGCTCCCGGCAGTATTAACACCACTTGTTGCCTTCTTGTAGCCATGAGTGACAGGGCGAGGTGGCAAGAGCACAGCATTAAGTGCAGTTGGCTGAATGGTTCCATCAGTTGGTCACTCAGTAGTCCCAAACACCTGTGATTATGGGTGCTGAGCAGTGGGCAAGCAGAGAGGTACAGGCTTCTCTTAAGGCCTGATGGAGGTAAAAATTCTGCCCAGTATACTAGCTCATCTATTTATTCAGGAACTCTAATTGAGCACTACTTCCACACTCAGCATGGGGAGGTGAAAGTAATACTCTGCCTAACCATTCAGTTGAGGAAAAGAAGAAAACCAATAAGTGGGCTGGATGAATCTCCTCCATCTCTATTTCCATTTGGTCACTTACTGAAAATTGAAGAAAAACTGCACTTCTTTTCTTCCTTTTTGTTCTAAGTGTTATAAAGAGCTACAGAATGGCAACATAAACCATCCAAAAGGGGGAAAAGAACATAAATTTTAATGGATGTTTGTTTCATTTTTCCTTTTCTTAAATTCTGAGGGTCCAGCTGTCACTCAACATACACATTTTTCACATATGGACCCTTAAGCTCCAGTGCCAAAGACTGAATTGATTTAGAAGTAAGTGATGGAGACAGAGTCTTTGTGTCAGACTCACAGCTCAGAGAGGAGTGGAGGCAGGAAGGTATTTCACTACAATTCTGATCCCAGCAGAAATTCTGTTATGTAACTCAATTCTTCCTCTCTAGTCACTTCACCTGGACTACATTCTGGTCCCTCTGCGGTGCTACAGTGACAAATGGGATGTGACTGAATGTGACACTTCCCTGGCTTCACAGTTTCTCAGTGGCACTTTGCCACCTTGCAGATGGCTCTCCAGTTCTGGAATCAGACAACTGATATATAGCTGCCACTCACTGCCATACAGAAGCGCAAGGTAGGTAAGACCCAGTCTCAACTGCTCTTTGTGGCCATTCAAGCTACACTGTAATGTTTAACTAAAGAAGATTTCAATACATCTAAATCCTTCTTCCAGTGTTCCGACTGCTCAGACAATGCACAGATTATCATAGTTTTTACAAGTTAAACTGATTTAGAAGGTTTGAACTTAGTATCTGTGTTTGTGCTACAACAATGCCTCTGGAAAGAAAGTAGTAATATATTTATTTTCCTGGAAAGAAACTATACCTTTCATAAAAAATAGTCCTTACTAAGAAGATAAAGACTTAAAATACTACATCCAAACTTTAAATTTAAAAAATTATCTTATTGAAAAATTGTCTTGAGGAAGACATGTCTTTCATATTTTACAAGTTCATACATAACTTTCTGAGATAAATTATACTTATTTGATATTGACTTTTCCTGACACCCAGCTAAGACCAGAAACAAACCAAAAAAATGCACATACCTTTTTTCCAAATCTCTGATTTTCTCTCTTAGTGGCTCAACAATCTAGAACAACAATAAACAAAATTAGTTTTAGACCAAAAACATACTTCCCGTTACTAACTCTTCTGATATTTCAAGTGACCATGATATGACATAGAATAAATTTTAATGCATTTCCACTTTGAACCCAACACTAGAATTAAGCAGATACACTCTACACTGAAACTCTTATTATTAGCACCTTATAACGAAGAATGTAAAAGGCATCAGAGGTTCATAGGAAGAGGTACTACCCTTCACTTCAAGAACTAACAATTGTACTATGGTCCACAAATCTTAACATCTTGTCTCTGTGATTATGTCCACGTTATAAGCTCGAGGACAGAAACTGTAGGCTATGAGTCAGGCAACCCACATCCCTGTGGGTCATCATCCACCATGGTCTACAGCAAAAAAGAGCAATTCAAGGGTTTCCCTAGGACTCTAACATTCAGCTTCAAACATAACGTAAGCCCTCCTCCTGTCTCAACCCATGTTACAATAGTCTAGCTATACCTCTGTCTACTTGTCTATAAACTACAGACAGTAATTTTAAAATAAGAGGTTTCCAACTCTCAGGCACTGTATGGCTATCTATGCATCCAGATGCTCATTGTTTCTCGAGTTCCGGGACTAGTCTGGGGTTACTCTTCCTTTCAGCATCTGCTCAATGTGGATGTTGGTGCTTGTCTCCATCACTTAAAGCAAGCCCTTCCTTTCTTCTAAGAAAGGCTCGCCTAGACAGTACTGTACAAATCCTGAATGCATTCTGCCTTTAGGGAAGAATATATGTAACATGCCCCTTTACAGAAATGGAAAAATGGTGACACAAAGGGAAAGGAATTTTTGAGAACTAGTTTCAAAACCACAGAACAGCATTAAGCCACCACAATAAAGATAACAGCATGAGCAAAGAAAGTCAGTGTGACAGATAAACGAGTAAAAACAAAAGCAGAAGATGGAAAAGAGACTAACCTCTTCAATCTTGCTTTCAACTTTTAGTTCGCCATTTTCCTGTATAGACCTGTTGAGTAGAAAGCTTTGAGTAGGAAGCTAACAAACTGAGATCAGTCAAAAAAGGCTTTTGTAATTAGTCAAGATTTGTTCCTGAACTAACTACCATAATACAAACTAAAGGCTGAGACCATCTCCCAGTCTAACCCCAGTACCAATCACAGGTGCTAATTCACTCCAGCAGGGGGCGCACAAAGAAAAAAAGAGGACTGACTGGGAATTTCCTTAAATCCATCTATAAACACGCTCCTTTTCCATACTTGATTGTTTCTGTCAAAACTAAAATAATCCCATGTTACACACCAACACTGGATTTTAAATTAGAAGTAGGAAGCATGTCTATAGGAGTATGTCTTTGGGCTTTCCTAGAGGTTTAACACAAGATGGAATTTTTCCAAGCTAAAAACAGAGTTCCTCTAAATGAGATCTAAGAACCCCACCTAGCCACACACAGCTACCTTTGTCAGGAGACATGTAACTTGGTGGTAGGGTTCAGATCAACAAGCCCCACCCACCTGGCAAAACCAACTCCACATGAAATGCCTAGTGAGGGGCTCTAATCTTCCACCCTTGTAGGCTGGGCAGCAGCATTAAAATTCCAGTTTCACACTCTGCAGTGAAACTCTTTCATTTCTTGACACCACAAAATAGCAAAGTGGGGACAATTTTTCTTTAGATGAAAAATTGTGCAACAGAGCCAAATCTGCTCTTACAATAAATGCTTTTTTACATTTCTAGTGATTTGTTTCAAAAAGCGTTATTTTTTTAAGCTTGGCAAAGATAATCCACATGAAGATTTAACTTTTATAAGCATCCCTCCTCTCAACTAAAAAAAGCCAAGTTGGGTGTGACAGTACACACCAACAGTCCCAGCACTTGGACAGGGAAGTGGTCTCAATAGCCACATCCAATATGAGCACCCCCCCAACTTGAAAATCCAAAAGTCTGACACCCAAATGCCTCCAAATCTCAAACATAATAGCAGCAACATGAAAATACCACACCTGACCTCATGTGATTTCAATATCTGCCTCAATACTGATACACCAAAACTATTGTATAAAATTTACCTTCAGGCTTTGTGGGTAAGTAGCATAAGTGAATAAATGAATCTTGTGTTTAGACTTGGGTTCCATCCCCCAAATATTTCAGTATACATATGCAAATATTCCAAAATCTAGAAGTAGAAAAAGAAATCTAAGAGCTGATCCCATTCATTTCAGATAAAGAAAATTGAAGCAGGGTTCATATCCCTGGTGCAGAAGGGCCAGCTAGGATCTCTCTAAGACACCCATATTCTTACTCAGGAAGTTGAGAAATGCCCTAGGTCATGTGAAAGCCAGGGATATCCCTCTATTGCTGAAGAAGAGGCATAGACCACCTTAAAGCTCACCTTAAGCTTTAGATGAGTAAATTTTGAAATTAGCTGTATCCCCTGGAAATGTTCTCAGAAGAAAAGAAACAGCCCAGATTGGTGACCAGCAAAAAAATTCCATTAAAAGCACTGGTGGCTCACACTTATAATCCTAGCTACGGAGGAGGTTGAGATCTGAGGATCATGGTTCAAAGCCAGACCAGGCTGGAAAAGTCTCTCAGACTCTTTTTTTTTTTTTTTTTGGGGGGGGGGGGGGTCCGGTCACGGGGCCTGAACTCTGGGCCTGGGCGCTCAGCTCTTCAGCTCAATGTTAGCGCTCTACCACTTGAGCCACAGCGCCACTTCCAGCTTTTTTCTTTTTTGCTTATGTGGTACTGAGGAATCGAACCCAGGGCCTCATGCATGCAAGGCAAGCACTCTACCACTGAGCCACCTTCCCAGCCCTCCCTCAGACTCTTATCTCCAATTAACCACCAGAAAACCAGAAGTGGTGCTGTGGTAGAGCGCTGGCCTTCTGCTGAAGAGAACTTAGGGACAGCACCCAGGCCCAGAGTTCAAGCCCCACAACCGACAGAAAAAACAAAACAACAACAACAAAAAAACCAAAACAGCTATTTATTAGTCCCTGACACCAACAAAGTATAGATAACTGAAATATGAAATATGAAATCTCTATAAAACCCAACTACTATATCCAAGTAATGAAAAACAATTACCTCATATTAACGAAGTTGCCCCAGACAGCTATAAGAGAAAAAAGGAGGGAAAAAGTCAATATTTATGTCTATAACATTCAAGGATTCCAACTGACAAAATTTTAATTTTTAACCAATATTCTAAAGTTCACTGAGAAACCCAAATTAAACTTTAAGAAGAAAATAATGTACACTTGTTGAAATTCTATTAAGAACAAAAACATGATCCTTCTATCAATTCAGTAGTTTTGGTGTTTGCAGTTCAAGTATGCATGTGCATATGTGTTTGTTTTTTGCTGATAGGGGGCCTTGATCATAGCTAGCACTCTCTCAGTTGAGCCACAGCTCCATTTCTGACTTTTGGCTAGTTAATTGGAGATCAGAATCTCACAAACTTTCCCTGAGCTGGCTTCAAACCACGATCCTCAGATCTTAGACTCCTGAAAAGCCAGGTAATCCTGTTGCCAGGTAAGCCATTTGCAAGCCACTGGCAACTGGCTTAGTCCAATTATTTTTGAATAAGGGAAGGTGATCCAGTACCCCAAACATGAGAAATCACATGATACCACCACTAATCAAGACACCTTGTTTTTAAATGACTGGTATTAACATCTGGTCTACGTTCCTCTCTGGCCTCTCCCCAGATACAGAATGCATCTTCAGGCCTGGCATTCTTATGTGTAAGCAGGTGCAGGGAAAGGGCACAGAGCAGATACAAATGCCCCTGGACCCAGGCTGTTGACTCTGAGCTTGGGAAGACTGTGAGGTTAATATCTAATAAGCCCAGGCTTTGTCTCCCTGCTACCCTTGGGACAGAGCAGAGACATAATTGATGCTTACTGCGTAGGATTCAGTATCCAAGACCATCCCTCAGAAGAAGCCCCATTGCCAAGAAGGGGAATGCTGTTGATATCATAAATCTCTCTTCAAATACAGAAAGAGAAATGATAAAAAGGCAGCAATCAATACCAAAACATGACTGGGGAAGGTAAGGCCTCCAGCTCAAATCAGCCTGACCTGGTCTATTTTATAGGACTCCATTCTGGCTGGCAAGAAGGCTGTTTTACTTTGTTTTGCCAAAACTGTTCTTCTGAAATGAAGCAGAACCCTACCGCTGTCCTGTTTTAACAATGGATTCCTGGAAAGGATTGTATAAACTCTTACACACTCGTACGCACACGCGCGCACACACACACTGGCAAAAACATTAAACTGACCACTCCAGCAGCGATTTGGCATAGATAGTTGAACTAAAACTACAGAACAAAACATTAGCAGTCCAATCCTTTTATACCTGAAATGTTCTGATCCCAGTCCTCACCCCATTCAGCATATGGTACCTGCAACCTTTCTTCCCTTATAAAGAGAATAAACTTGTTTTCTTGTTTGCCATCCTACCTTCATTGAAATCTTTCACATCCTTTGTACCAGGTGAAAGCCACCTGACCTAAACAATAAAAAACAAACAAACAAAAAGCAAGACCTGGGAGAAGTTCAAATGAAGCTATACCACAGCAACTATTTTTTACTTTCGTGCGTGCGTGTGTGTGTGTGGTGTGTGTGTGTGTGTGTGTGTGTGTGTGTGTGTGTGTGTGTGTGTGGTGTTCATGCATGTCAGTATGAGGGCTTGAATTCCGGACCTCATCCTCTTGCTTGGCTTTTTTGCTCAAGATAGATGCTTTACCACTTAAGCCACATCTCCAACTTCCAGCTTTTTGCAGGTGAACTGGAGATAAGGATCGCTCATATTTGTCTGCCTGCCTTGCTTTGAACCACACTCCTCAGATCTCAGCCTAATGAGTAGCTACGATTACAGGTGTGAGCGATTGGTACTCAGCTGAGTCATTAATCATTTAAAAACATAACAGACAATTATATCTCTGAATTCTTTTTGAGTATTATTCTCAGGAAATAAGCACCAAGAGTAGAAAGACATAGGAAAGTTGCCTTCACAAAGACCATGCCCTATTTATAATCTCTCACACACAAAGGAATAAAACTAAATGCCTCACAAATGAGACCTGCTGTATAAATAACCCTATAGCCAATGGATGAGATCTGAAAGCATTTTGTAGAAGAAGTGATAGGAAGTGTGGGGGAAGAACGGGGGAGATCCTTCCTAACAAGGGGAAAGTGTTATGAAAATGTTTAAGCACAGGATCCTTCCAGATGAAGACCGAAAGACATAAAGGGAACTGACCATTTGATGCTTAAGTGTCATAAGGCAGGGACCGCCTAGTAGGAAAGTCCCTGGACAAAAAGGGACTCAGGTAATGACGTTGGGAGGTGGGGGGGAGCCAGGCCGGTCTGCCCAGATTCGTTCTGACAATGCCAGCAGCATTCCTTCCCCCAGAATGAGGCAGGGCCTTTCTGCCATGAGTGTCTTACTACCTACTCTCAAGCAAGCTGGTTCGGGAATTTCCTTCTGGAAACTGAGACAAGAGGGCAGTGGGGGTTACAGCAGTATTCTCAGGCTTTATGGCTTGCTAGGAAAAAGAATTCTAGTTTCTATGACCTGCTCAGGGAAGAGGACTCCTGGGTTTTGTAAGAGGCTGGGGGGAGATTGAGAGCAGTCTGGGACAGAAAGGCCCAGGTTCTGAGGAGGCTTCCGAGGCCCTGACTATCCTCAGTTCAAAGTACTCAACACACCAACATGCCACACGTTGGGGGTATCATCTTCTAGGTCTTAGTACCTGAGAAAGCAGTTATGATGGTGCTAGATGAAGATATGTTTGTACAGTATGATTTCTGCTAAGAAATACATTGAAAAACAGCATGAAAGCCAGGTGTGATAGGCTGACACCTGAAACCCCAGAACTCAGGAGATCTTGAGTTTGAGGCCTAGGCCACATTAGCAACTTCCAGACCAGTGTGAGTGATACAGTGAGACTCTGTTCAAAAACACTAAAAAATAGACTAAAAAATTGCCAGAATCCTAAATTTGCGTGTTGATATAAGAGAGTTTATTTGTCCTTATGCTTACATGCTTACTTTGCACATAAATATGCAGAGGGGAAGAGATAGCTAAAGGTTGCTAAACCGCAAGCTTCGGTTACCTTGCTCTCAGCCTCTTTTTAGATACCTGAGGATATCTGGGCTAACAGACACCAGGCACCATGATCACCCATCAGAGCCTACAAAGATCACCTCACTGGGACACCTGTGGCCAAGCAATGGGAATGTTTCCTCACTGTGGTAGCTCAAATAAATATACTGTCTCACTCTGGCTTTAGTCCTCAACATAGACTAAAATCAGACCATCTCTTTTTGTACAAAGGAGCCATGTAAGGAACACCTATAACCATTCTTAAGCATCTTGTGTTAGCTCCTTGGACAACCTTTTCAAATCATTCCATGGCTACTGGTTTGTGTAGTTTTCCTATCCACTTTTGCTGGCATCCATTTTTAGGAGCATCTCTCAAGCTTATTGGTCATTTAGTTCATTTCAGAACATCTAAGGCCATCTTCCTGGAGGACTCTTTCTCCTTCCTGGCCCTCCCCGCTTTCCCACTGGAAGCTGGTAGCCAAACCCCTGCTTTACTACTCCTTGTAGGTTAAGGAGAATGGGCATAAATGGGTAAGTTCCAGATATACTTCACAACTCAGACCTATTAGATTGTGGCTGGCATCTGGACATATCCCCTCCTGCCTGGCTCAGCCAAGACAGCTTGGACTTGCCACTTCCCTATCAGACCCCCATAGCAGCCCACTCCAGGAATGCCTCATTAAAGAACTCTCCCCTACTCCCCACCCCTTAACCTCTACAGATGATCTAGGCCAAGCCTTCCTGAGCACCATCTCAGGAAAGTATCCCGCTCTGTCCTTACTGCTGGGGATCGTATGCTACCAGTGTCCATGTCATGCTTTTCTCTAATGGACAGCTTACATGAGAATCCCTGCAAGATACAGAGATCTCATTCACATGAGCAACACATGCCACCCAAGTAGGAAAATGAATGTCAAGAATGTTGTCCCTTTTCTCACAATATCTATACTTAATAGTGCAAAAAGAAACAAACAAACAAAAAAAAACACAAAAAATCTCTATGGTGTTTTTGTGTCAAGGGGTTTTAGCTTTCTTTAAATGACCAAGAGCTCTACCTGCTCTTCTTTGGAGCACACAAAGGAACTCAGAGCCCAGCACAGGCCAACATCTCAGCCTGAAAGCAGTCCATTTGTTCTAAGGGAAGCACATAAGTAATTTCCAATAGTTGCAGCCTTCCTCCTGTAGCTTCCTGTGGCAGTAGGCTGGAAGTAGCGGGACATAGGTTTTAAAAGTCAAACATTATTGAAAACAATTATTTTAATCCAAGTACCAGTGGCTCACACATGTAATCCTCGCTACACAGGAGGCTTAGATCTGAGGGTCGCAGTTAAAAGCCAGTCCAGGCAGGAAAAACCTATCTCCATTAAACTACCAAAATTCTGGAAGTGGAGGTGTGGCTCAAGTGGTACAGTGCTCGTCTTGAGCAAAAGAAGCTCAGGGACAGTACAGAGGCCCTAAGTTCCAGCCCAGGACCATCACAAAAGAAAAAAAGCTAGCAGTAGAGCTGTGGCAAGTACCATGGACAAAAAAAAAAAAAAGGTAAAGGACAATGCACAGACCCTTAGTTCAAGCCCCAGTACTGGCAGGAAAAAAAAAAAAAAAAAGGTTCCAAAACTTTGCAACCTGATTTACAGTGCCTCAAAGAGACAGCTGGGAATTGATTACTCTGTAAACATGTGAACCAAATAAGCTGACATAAGCCCATTATACGTAACACTAGAAGTCAGTATCAAAAGGCATACAGCAACACTCTAGCCCATGCAGACTGAAAATACAATGGTGGTCCCACAAGATTTTAGTGGAGGGGCAAAGTTCCTATCATTGCTGATACAACAGTCCAGTGACATCATTAACTATTGTGATGAGGTAATGCAAAGCAATGCAGCACACTGCTCACATGCTTATTGTGATGTAGGTATGAATTGCCAATCATATAAAAGTACAGCACATGTGCTCATGTACTGCACGTAATACTTAATAGTGATAATGAAATACAACATTAC